GAAAGAAAATTGAAAAGGTTATCAACTGTTTACATTGTATGTTGATCATATAACAATTACAAAAACTTAGACAATAGGTTTGTTAAAATATGTTAAATAAGGTCAATATAAATTTAAATATATTATAATAACAATAATGTTATACTCTATTCAAGTTAAGTTTTGCGCATGCTTATTGAGAAATCCCCCAAAAAGAAACATAAAAGTATTCAAACATTCAAATCTTTCTTTTATATTAGACTAGGTTTAGTAAAGATTAGTATTACATTACAATCAATAGAATTTTATGAGGAACATATTTAAATCAAAWATTTTTTTTGTTGCACAAGTATTTCCTTAATTTATTTTTTAACCTTTATTCGCCTTAAAAAAATCAAGCCCCGGATAGAAACTGCATATTAACTATTTACCCACTGATGTCTACCAATAAACTAAATTTGTATAGACAACATTTTTTGAAAAATCTTCATATTGAATTTTCAGCAATAAAACTATTTGACTTAACATTCATTATAGGTATGTCCATTTCATATTTTAATAAAACAAAATATAAAAGCATATTATATATATTTTTTTTGTTTTTACCAATTATCTTTGCTACTGAACGTACAATAAAATTTAAAATTACAATAGGTTATTCTTGTTACTTCACTAGATCAATCATTAGATTAGAAATAGAAAACATTTAAATTCATATACTTCATTTGTGTTAACAATGRTATAAATTGATATAAATATACCTACTATTTATCACTTAACTGAGTGAAAAAGTTTGTTTTCAGAAAAATTTTAATTTAATAAAAAGAAAACTGATAGAAATCAACAGTGAATAAATTACTAAAATGAAATAATGAGCATAAAGAAAATTTAATGTTCTGCAAGATAAAATAAAATATTAAAGGACATTTATACATTTAAAGAATTATTTAGACAAAATATTAAGGTTGGGATTTCAATATGTGCATGGCATTGTTTTCCAAATCTAGCTTTGTGGTCCTCGTTTTAAAACATAAATATTTTTAMAATACAAGTACCTTACCAGAATAATTTATTACCATGCATTGTTTGATAATTTATTTTTACGGAAATTTTTTTCATTTTATGCGGGAATTTTAATTTTAGAATTTTTTGAAGTTTTTTAATCCAAAATTTGGACTAGACATTTTTACAAGATTTTAGAATTGTATATGATTTTTATTTAAATTTAAAAAACTACAACAATGTATAGGTAAATAAATATATGAAAAAAAAGGTTTATACTTAACCATCAAGATCATAAACATTCTATTCCCGATTATAAATTACTCAACCTAACTGATTAAATACAACGGTATTTAAGAATAACAATATAATCTATTCAATAAATGATTTAGGAATTAAAAAAAATTTTAATTCTGCTAACGACTTTTTAAGTATTTATATGTCTGTTAAAATGTATGCTAATAAAATRATTTTGTTTTTTAAATGTAGTACAAGTGTATAACCTATTGTAGGCAAAAACCCACCCATTTTTAAGATCAGGTGTGGTCTAGTGAAGGATACTGTAAGAGTGACTGCCTCGRTAGTAAACAATGTGCAATATGCAAACTATACCTAGGAATCATTTTAGATTTTGCGTKATTTTAAATAYTTTGATATTTGCGCTATTAAATAAGTAACATGGTTACCCCTTACCAGAGAATACATTTTGTCAGCGGTACTATAAAAATCTTGTGGATTCACAAACTTGTGTTCTTCAGGGATGTTCAAGTMTTCAATGAGTGCTACACTACGGATGTAATAGAAGAAACCCATCAATACCTAAGCAAAAACAATTATTACAGAGTTACAAATTATATAAATATCAATTATAGCCCACCGACGAAAAACTATTTACTCACCAATTGAATTATTCCCCAAATGCTGATAATGATCCCGCACAGGGACAGTTTAGGTCCGCAGAATTTCATGGCAATCGATTAAAGAGCGAGATTTTGTAGTTTTTAATTAAATTAAAATCTGATGATAGAAAACGATATAATATCAAAAATTCCAGATTCGAGTCTACCTTGAAAGTGGTTTATTGTAATTTTTTATCTCGGTTATTGAGTCTATCCGCCCAATATTTTTAACAAATGTTAATTTCTTGATAAGCGCAGACACAGTGCCACCAGCAGTGGTACGCGAAAATACCTCGTGTCTCGCTATCGCATTATGCTGCGAATCATTTCCAAAGGTCGTTCTTCCCGAGTCCCAACTGATTATCTAAATAAGAATTCGCTGTCCGCTGATAGCACGACGAAGTTCATAAAAATTTTCACTCTTAAATCTTAATACGATTTTCTCGTTCTCTTTCGCTGACTAAAATACTGTTAGAACGTCGACGACGACACAATGTCTTCGGATTCAGACASAATGCCGGGGAAGATATTTGGTTACCAAAAACAAGCGCATACCGGTCGGAACTCGATTGAAGACTTTTTAGAGAACCTTAAAGGCGTATTCCTTGGACCAGTAATATGGGTTAGAGGTAACACAGTTACTGTTAATTCATTGTTTCTTGTACTGTATTTATTATTTAATAGTTATCGGATTTTGTTTTCGCTTACTTGTCATTTATTTGTAGAGACCATTGTAAAGCCCAATCAGAAAGACTACCACTATTATCATGAACAGTTACGAAGAGTGCCCACAGTTGATCAATGTTATGACGATGATAGACTGTGCAAATGGGAAGCCAATCAACAATTAATTCGGGATAAGTAAGTGCAACAAATCAAAAGATTATTCATAATTGATAGATCAATAATACATGATTATTTTTTAAATTTAAAATTATTTGTTTATTCTTATGGTTCTTTAGACGCCTTTGAGTTTAGTTCTTATTATATCAAATAAGATGTGATCTAAGCTATAATGAAGTTTTTATAAAAATAGCATATAAGTATTGATAATATTTCATATTAAATTCAAAAATTACTATTACAACTTTAAAAAAGCAAAAAAA